CCTTCACAGTGTTTTGCTAGAAGAGGTTCCCCTCTCTGGCTAATTCAGAAACACGAGAACGTGTTCTCTAGGTGGTTTTATGCTTGATCTCTAAGACTGTGCTTTTGGGTGAACCGAGTTAAGGAGGTTTAGACATTATGAAAATGCAAGTTTTATGGATTTGTACCAAACCTCAAGCTTTTTTCCCCTGCACTTCATCTTTTGCACCATGACCACACTACTCATTAATCCATTTTTAACAGGAAAACAACTACTGAAGAAAACCTTTTACTTAAAAAAAGATGAAACTCTAGGCTCCTGTTACAACACTAAGCAATGGTAAACACTGGAGGCGGTTTTTTTTTTTGTTTGTTTTAATGAAAGTAGAGTTATATTGGTTTTCATATTGCGTTTTGAGTGACAGTGTGATGCTTTAAACTGTTCTGAGATTGAGCTGCACTCCAATATCAGACTTCCTCCTTTGATTCATTGTTCCACTTTTTTATATAATAAAGGGGGGAAGGGTTGGGTGTAGGGTTTTTTTTTCTCTTCCAAAACTTTCACCATGGCGCCACGCCACATTAGCTGAAGAGATTGAGTTGTTTTCAGTGTAGGGCAGCCTGTCTTTTCATGTGCGCCCAAATCCTCCAGTTAAGTAGCTTACATCTTTGAAGTATCGTGGCCTTTCTCTGAAGGATTCATTCTGGTTGGTTTTGTCGGAGAGATGTTGAACTATATGAATGTATAGCTGAGTGTTACGTATGCTCTACTTTATGAGAGCTTGTTCAAAGGAAGTGGACCATATAGATATAGATTGCGATTGATCCCACACACTAAAATATAGGCTGTAGTACTCGTGTAATTGGTCATGTACATTACGACGTTTTGTTGTAAGAGCACCATGACGTTCGAGGATTAAGAGAAGAGTAGTGGAACAACCAAAGACTGTTTGAAATACTGAAGGTTTATAATACTAATTAGTCCGAGTACACTACATCACGTTAAAGGAATTGTTTACCCAGATAGGAAAATTCTGTCATTTATTCACCATCATTTCCTGTGTAGCATTCGTTCTTCTTTAGTGTTGTTTTGGCCATTTTTTTTTTTAAATGGCATTTTATATGTTTCACAGTAGAAAGAAAGTCATATAGGTTTGAAACGACATTAGGGTGAGTGCATGATGACAGAATTTTCTTTTTTGGGTTAACGGTCCCTTTAAGATTTGATCTTTTCTTGCTCAGTCACAAAGATCCAGGACCAAAGTGGATGGGAACATTGACAAAATTTAAGGGGAAAAAAAAACACATTAAAAGGCCGTTTCAAAATTAATCTGATTCGTGTAGTGACTCTACATGTGAATACTAGCTGATCATTAATGAGAATCGAGTGAATGCACGTTTGTGAGAAGATTGAGGTCACATTTACATTCAGTAATTTACAAATTGTTTGAAGATGAATTGTAGAGATTAATTCTAGACTGAAGCGGTAGCTGTTGTGTATATTGAGTTTTTCTAAAAAATCGTGTTCTTTTGCAGAGGGCCTAAACTGTAACACCGCAACAGTAGCTCTAATTGTAGATGTGAAGGTTTGAGAAAATTAATGACCATTATTGACAGATGTAATTAATATAAAAACACTACTAGAATTTGTTTGTTTGTTTTTTTTCCACCAGTAAAAGTTTTTAATGGCATTTCTTTACATACTGGAACTGTTACTTTTTCAGGAGGTGAAACAAAAATAATGACAATCAGGCATTGGAGCAAAGTATGTACACGCATGTAAATGTATAATCAGAGAGGAATAAATAATGAAATTGAGAGAATAGCGTTCATAGGTATTGTAGGTAGTTGTTTAACATCCTCAGTGCACTGAAACAACAGATGAGGTTAGCATTCCTACAAACAAAGAAAAACCGCCTTAATGCATCTTTAATGAAGAACTGAAACTGAACACATTCTCCACAGTATGCTACTTGATTTGTGACCAGCCACACATCTGCTAATGTTTAATGACTATTGACTGTTCATAAAGAGGATACCACAAGCCTTATTTGATTGGAAGTGTGAATGGATGTGAGCAAAATGGCGTAATGCATGACTTTCTCAAAAGACTGATCCAGTGAACGTGTTGAATAACTTTCAGAAATGACTTCTCTATTTTCTGAATTGCATTCCCAGGGCCGATCAGAGCATGATCTCGTATGTGGTAAGATAATGATACACTTTTTTTTTGTTTTGTTTCCGATTTTGTTCCTCATGTGGTGCTCTCAAACAGTACTGCAAATGCTATCTGGAAAGGGTACATTGTATATTAATATGGCTTTCTTTTTTCTCTCACTTAGTCTGTTTCAGATTGTCTCTGCATTAAACCTAATGGATCACCCATATTCTGCTGTTGACTTATTTTAAGCCTAATAGGTTTCGAATTAATCTTGCACTGTATTTTTTAAATTTCTATTACCATCATTTCCTTTTTTTTCATCATGTAGATAGTTTTAAAGAAACTTATTTTAAAGGTGGAATAAAATCGAAGCATGAACTTTGTGCTCACTGCTGGCATTCTGACATCATCTTGATGTTCCCCCATATCTGACAGACTAATCATCTTCAACATCTATTTGGAACTGCTACTGACAGGCCTGTGTTGTTGTGAAGTATAAAATGGTTCATGCTGGTTCTTTTGTTTTCTCCTTTCATTTCTATGTATTGTCATTTTTGGTGCACAACCAATGTCAGAGTTCCCTCTATAATATGTGAATTTTTACTGGTGGTAAAATGGACTTTAAACTGAATTTTTTTTTTCTTTAAATACAGTTTTTAAACATCATCTTTTGGCTCCCTCATTTCACTCTTTAAGCCAGATGTGGTAGTATGATTTTGCTCTTGAGATGAACATAAGTATGTTGTACAGAGCTGTCATATTGGCACAGGATGTATCCTAGTCATTTTGGTTGACATGACCTTTGTGATATGTGATAATTAGATGGTGTGAACTGGGAAAGTACTTTCAGTGAACTCATGCATTATATAAAAATATGCATTATATAAAAATATAGTTGTTTAATAATTTAAAATGTAAAAATAAGCAGAAACATTAGACAATTTGCCTTTTAAGAGTGTATATGCATATATGTCAACGTCAGTCGTGATATCAAAACGATTAATATGAAAAATGTTTAAATGTGCCCCTATGATGGCCAGAAATGCAGTCTTGTTAGGCAGCTCACAAGCTTTTAAAACGCAGCCACCGTCAGTGCGTAGTATTGCTCTTTTCCCTCACAGGCGGTGCATCCATCCTGTATTTTATCACTTCTGTTTTGTTTCTGTTTTCTGTCTCTTCCTCAGGTTTTATGCCAAATGGGGAAGCGGGTGTGCTATAGGTGTGGTCGTAAAAATATTTGTATAAATAATAAAACCACAGCCTACTGCTTTTCCACGAATTGCTTTCGGTTTCCAGAATATGATGGCCAAATGTGGGCGGTCCCTTCTCGTCGCTGTGGGGCGGGGCGCAGGCCGGCGACCAATCAGAGCTCGAGCTGCGCATGATAACTCAGCTGTGCGGTGAGTCATCTGACAGCTGCTGCTCTGGAATAGATGCACTTGTTGAATCAGGTCCCATTCAGCCGGGGGGCACAGGTTGTGTGCTAAGTCATTTGAAATCTTTGACGGATCCCTTGTAAATGAAAACACACTAAAGAAGCGACTGCGCTAGATCGATTTTATAACCTCACATCACCGCGAGCTGCATTGCCAGGTGAGTTTCGTTTTGGATCAGACTTTAACACACAATACGGTGCAACAATAGAGCTTTTGTGCACCTGTCTTCCTTTTCACAAACCTACAGTAAGCGTGTGAACAGTGCTATTAAATCACACATGGGTTTTGTACAATGTTATAGTGAAGGGCAGTGACGAACAGAATCAGCATTGTTAGATGAATGGCTTGATTAGCAGAGCAGAAGAATCAAAGATCAGTTCTCTTTTATCGTATATGTCAGTGATGTTTCCCATCATACCCATAACTAACTGTTTAAATGTCAGTTAAAAGAAAAATGTCAAGTCAAGTCACCTTTATTTATATAGCGCTTTTAACAATACAGATTGTGTCAAAGCAACTGTACCGCATTAATTAGGAAAATAGTGTGTCAATAATGCAAAGTGACAATTGTGGCAGTTGTGTGTAAATGTGTTTTAATATAGCACAGCAATTGCACATTTTAACTCCATACACTTTAAAAATATTTTCCAAATTGTAAACAGATTATTGGAGTGTTTTTTTTTCTACTTAAATATTTCACGTTTAATTAATTTTTTTGCAATTGTTTGTAAAAATTTACTAGCAATTTCTAAGTGAAAATTGTTTCTACACCAACTTGTGACTGTTTGCAGATCAAAAAATGTTATTGTCACTGTCATATACACAAATGTGCTGTAGTGAAAAATGTGTAGAGAATTGCTATTTTTGTGACTGATAATGCTAATTATTATTTTTACATTTTTGTGTTCCATAACCATATGCCATATAAAGAGGATTTTTGATAGTTTTTTTCTGCTTTTAATAATAGAATACATAAAAAAAAAAAAGTAATAATGGATTAATTGCTTAATTCATACAAATATATTGAGACAATACAAACAAACTGGATTGTAAATCATAAGATTAGCAGAAAAATAATAGCATGAATGTTATTATTAACATTCATGCTATTATTTTTCTGCTAATCTAAATTTACTTTTATTTTTTTTCTTTGCATTTCATTTATTTAGGTGCTTTGCACTTAGTGTATTTATTAATCATTCCAATACTGATTATCTGAGTTTGTGGTCCATATTTGCAGTCATGACAGTAGAACATAATATATCTACACCCTTAAAAATAAAGCGATGCCATAGAAGAACCATTTTTGCTTCCACAAAGAACCATTCAGTCAAAGGTTCTTTAAAGAACCATCTCTTTCTTACCTTAAGGTTCTTCAGATGTTAAAGGTTCTTTATGGAACCATTTAGACAAAAAAGTTTCTTCTATTGCATCGTGAAGCACCTTTATTTTTAAGAGTGTATTCAATATTCTCCCTATGCACAGTACACATAATAATAATATACATAATGCACAATACAACTTGCAGTTGCAGTATGCAGTTACTGTGGACACTCACATTAGTGTTCCACAGTTTAATAATGTATTTAGTAAAGGAGGTGGCAGCAAGCCGCCCACGTTGTGGTCTGTTTTGTGCCAAGCTTTATGTGTGAAAATGTCACGCTGCCAAGAAGGGACAATCCCGCATGTTGCACAGATGACTACACCATTGCAGAAATAAAAGCAAGAGTTCAGTGTTTATGGTTCTGGAGATGTTTTGTGTACATCTTGCTCCACTTGTGGCAAAGCTGCTAGTCATTTTTAGACTACTATCAAGTGACACCCTGTCACTTAACGCCACCTTTGGCATGGGAAATTGCACTCTGGGTTGTGCAGGTCGTGTTATTCTAGGGTCACAGGCTGGGTGTGGTGTGTGCCAGCTGTTGCACGGCCAGCTGTAGATGCATCCCTTCTCCAACATGTGGTTAATGGTTTAAAACACCCTGTTAGTCACACATGTAATGCAATTAAAATGCATCTCTGAATGACGCTTGCAGTACAGTAGGTGCAAGACTCAGACCTGTGGATCTAGTAATGGAAACTGCTGATAAGTGAATGGCTGCAGGTTCCTGAGCTCTGTTTTTTTTTTTTTGTCTGTGTGTTGTGTCAGCAGGACAGGTGTTTTGATGTCTGCACAGCGATTGTCTCTCTGGTCATGTGTGCGTACTGCCCTGAGCTGCGGGGCTCTCATGCTGGCTTCTCTGCCAGACTTCACCACAGGTATGACTATTTCCTTTCAGCAACCCACATCTTCCTCTTCCAGATACCCAGCCGCTAGCTTCCTCTCAAAGCTGCTAGTAAAGATTGTAAACTTATCATTTTGGCAGTAATCACTTATGAAACTTTGTACAGGCACTTGTAGGCCAATCTATCTTGTTCAATCGCTTAATTTATTCAAAAATGCATTAAAAATGCAATTACAATGTCTTGAATACGTGTATTTTACAGTGAATTTGGATATTTTTGGGAGGTTCGAAATGTAAACCCTTCCTGATCATAATGAAGAAAATAAGATTCATTAAAAAAAAATGGAAAAGTTATTAAAATGGCTTTAATTTAAAAAAAAAATGATTAAACAGATAATCATATGAATTATAAATAGCTATAGTAATATTATTATAACTATTCATAATTATTAGAACAACTAATATGTAATATACAATATTTGTTTTCATAATTTCATAATTAGTTTGTCAAAAAATGTTTAATTTGAAAATTATTTTAACAAAATTGCTTCACTACTTAAAACTGTTCTAGACGTTATGTGCAAAAAATGTCATCATAATGAAGAAAAAGATGAATAATTACAAGTTATTGTGAAGAAAGCATGAATTATTATTAATATTATTATTTAGAATTTTATAATATAATAATACTTATCAACTATGAATACAATTATTATTACTTTCACTACTTTCTTTGCTAATACTTTTTAAAGTCATTTGGTACAACCAACATGCAGAAAAAATCAAAACGGGAAGTATAAAAGTTTTCAAAACCATTCGAAACCAACACAATACAAAGACTACATGTAGAAGTTGAATTTTATCTTATCAAGGTCATTCCTATTTTATCTTTCTGATTTCAAGGCAAGAACTGCTCCCACCCGTTCGTACCCGAGCATGGAGGTTTCCGCTGTGAACCCTCTCCCTGTCGTGGTTTCCCTCAAAAGAGCATCATTAGCTTTTTCTGCGAGCCCGGCTACATTCTGCCCAAACGCCACCATCGGTCAAAGTGTCAGCATGGGGAATGGCGTCCCGCAGTGCCCATCTGCATGCCCCAACCAGGTAAGAGAAAAGAAAAAATTGGGTTTGCATTTTGAATACTTGATACAACCACCGCAATCCAGCCATTTACCGTCTTTCGAAGTAATAGACTGATGTGAAAGCCTGGAAGTGGCGTATGCAGGCTTTCCATCTTGCATCAGACGTCCAATAGTTCTGCATTCTGAATGAAGAAAATGTGTTGGAGGAAGACATTGCAAAAGCAGAACCATTAATATAAATGACCTAAATAAGCTCCAGGCACCGGTAGTGAAGTAAACTCCTAACCTAAGGAGGGGGAAAAACCATGATGCTTGTCTGAGCTGAAACATGTCTTGAGAGGAAACCAACAGCTTGAGCAGGAAGTTAGCAAAGTCACCAAACTAACCAGTACTACTTTTTTCTGTGATGCACGTAAAGCCTTCGGAAAACGTTCGCGTTATAGAATCCGAATCAAAGGATGTAAACCTCGCTCAACCGCTTATTCCAAAAGCCTGGCATCCGGCCTTGATTTGTACGTCAAGCTCTTTGACGGATGCCTTTAAATGGTTTGTGTGTGTGTGTTGTTTTTTTTTTAACAGAGGGTCATGCTGAACAAAAAGAAAACATAGTCAACTCTATCCCAAGCGTGGCTACGACTGCTATTGGTGTGTCCATCTTCCTTCTCACCACAACAGCCTGTTTGGTCATCAAATCCCATCTATTCTCCTGTCGAACGCAACGGTATGAACTATAAAAAAAAACACAATTGAAATGCACATGGTTACACAACTTTTCAAAAGTTTGGGGTCAATACTACATCAAAGTACTATTATTCCAGCGAGGACGCATTAAATGGATCAAAAGTGACAGTGAAGACATTTACAATGTTACTATTTCTATTTCAAATAAATGCTGTTCTTTTGAACTCCTCTAATCATCAAAGAATCCTGAAAAAATGGTTTCCACAAAAATAAGCAGCGCAAGTCTTTTCAGCATTCATAAGAAATGTTTCTTGAGCACCAAAACAGCATATCAGAATGATTTCTGAAGGGTCATGTGACACTGAAGACTATCGAAGCTCATTTCCGCCACAGTTTATATCTCACAATTGTGACTTTTTTTTTTATTGGGATTGCAAGATATAAACTCACAATTGTGAGATATAAACTCAGAAATGCAAAATTTAAACTCAAAATTCTGAGATGAAAAGTCTAAATTGTGAGATATAAATTCGTAATTGCAAGAAAAAAGTAATTACCAATTTTTTCTTTTTTTTGATCCATGATCCATGGCAGAAAGAAGCTTGAATTTTTTTTCCTTGCTATTGCAAATTTATATTTCACAATTATGATTTTTTCCCCCCCTCTCAGAATTGCAAGATGTAAATAAAAAAATTGCAACTACCTTTTTTTTCCTTGGAAGAAATAAGCTTCCATAGAAGATGGGAATAATGGCTGTTAAAAATGTAGCTAATAAATTCCATTTTAAAATATATTCAAATAGAAAACATTCATTTTCAATTGCAATAATGTTTCAAAATATTACTGTTTTCGCTGATTTTTGAGCAAACAATGAGCTTGATGAGCATAAGAGACTTCTTTACAAAACATACTTCCTTCAAAACCCACCCCAAACATTTGAATGGCAGCATATATCAGCATGACACTAACTGTTGTCTTTCTCATCAGGCGTTCCTCGGATCAGTTGGACCTTGTTGTAGATGGCTTACCTGTAGCTCTTCCCACGTACGAGGAGGCAATCTACAGCAGTTGGGGCCAACGACTCCCGCCATTCCGTGGACCCACTCAGCTCCTGCTGACCCAGGATGGATCAGGACACAGTCCGCTGACTTCGCTCATGTGCCCCGATTCGAATCACTGCACCGACACAGCCAATCAGAGCACAGAGACTCCACCGCCTCCTTACGAAGAGGTCCAATCACGATCCAGAGACACTGAGAACGACAGTGGCGAGCGGGCTTTGCAAAGTGCACTTTCTGTTGATAAAAACAACTAATTACTGGACGTTAATGAACTCACCCTTAGCTTTTTGATTGTTCGTTTTCTTGCACAGGAGTCCTTGTGACTTTTCTTTCTGCCTTTGATTGTGGATTAATCCTTCTTTGGCTTAAATACCAGTGAAGAACTGGTGTAGATGTTTCGCAATGACCTTATTGGTCAGATACGTTTTGTTTTGCTGGGCAACGTGCTGCAATATTATGTCAATGTTTTCACTGACCAGCTGGAGACGTGGCTACCGTCTCCCCTCCGTGAGGGGAAACAAGGTGTTTTAAGGGGACTTTTATGATTACTGAATGACTTTTATTTAATGATGTAGGTATTGCAGTCATTCCTGTAAGAATGAAATGCGGTGTAGTTACATTTTCAGAGTTATGATTTAAGATTGGCATGGAAAGAATATGATTTCACCTCATTCAGTGTTTCTCAGAGCATTTAGATTGACTGAATGTAATAGCTGGATTGGGATTGTGCCTGTTGACTGATGGATGTAGTATATATGATTTTATTTTAATTCCTTCCACCTGAACAGATTTATCTATTGTTAAATATTGCGTTAACATACAGAACAGGGGAACAGACTTGAAGTATGCTTGCTGAATGGGCTTTGAATGTTTTGTGTGGTATTGTTTGTTAATCATTTTATGATATGTAACATTTACATCATATCTTGTATATAATTCTGCACAAATAGTATATGTAAAAGTAATAATAATACATTTTTAACTTTATGAATGGCATGTTTGCTATTAAAAAGGATTTAAAATCTTTATATGGTTTGTGAGTGGTTTAACATATTTATTAAGAGACATTCTATTATAACACATTCTGAGGTTATAATATCCGATAAAACTCGCTAAAACTAACATTTCCAGTGGTTTACGTGTAATGGTGTGGTTGACAACAGCTCTAATACAGTGTTCAAGCTTGTTAACAGTTGTTTTCAATCTATTTTGAGCAAAAAGATCAATGGTGGATTAAAAGACTCATAAGAGGATATCATGGGAAATGTTATATTGAAACAGAAAGTAACTGAGAGAGGCCTACACACTTACATTTGACCTACATAAAGCCTCTTTGAATGTAATGCTAATCTGGTTTCCTGATTCTGCACTAAAGGATGGCAAATCTTCAAATGAGTTAAATATAGTAAAACCAGCTAGCTAGCTGGTTCAATTATTACAATCTGGAGCAACCTAAGGTGAAACTTATTCTTGCCCAATTGTTTATAGAACATTCTGCTAATATTTGGCGACTTTAGTACTCTGTCTGATAAGAAAAAAAGTGTAACCGTTTTACCTTGTAGACTAGAGACTTGGCAGCAGGCCTCATCGCCATCTCAAGGTCAAACGCAGTACTGCACACACGTGCAAGGGAAAGTTTTGTTTATTATTAATCATTAAAGATTGTTGGAAATGAATATAGTATGCTCTTTACTAAATAAGCAAAATAACACAGCAATCTTTTATGTATTAACCACATGGTTTATAACAGACCAATTTTGACGTTGAAAAGTTCTGCATGGAAAGCGTTGGATAATGTCTATTACTATTGTTCATAATTCAGATTTCCTATTAGATTGGAGATTGACACAAACTATGCTTGATTGCACTATGCTTTTTAATTTATGTAAAAATGTAGGCATATTTGTCGGTTGCACAGCAACTCGCTCACTAGTGCGTTTTTAAAACGCTGCGTCAGGTTAAAATACGCTTTAAAAACAAAACAAAAAATGGTCTCGAGATCTTGCATTCTTCCCGCTGCTAGGTCTGGTGTTTTTGAATGCATAAACGCGTTCTGTGTGAACGGTTCCTTACAAAACATGTTCTATTTAAACAAATTTTATTCAATTAATATTGAGTTGCGTGGCAAAACGTGAAAACAATGTGTGGAAAACAAGGAAAGCTTTTGATTATTCAATGAGGAAATGTGCTTGTGGATGTTTTGAAGTTTGTACATAAAAAAAAGAAAGCACACAACACTTTTGGAATGCATTTAAAAGGTTTTATTTCTTTATCAGTCAATACAAGGTGTACTTACATTGGAAATAAATGATGCAAAAATACACAAAGTGATATACACAAAAGTCTAAGATATCTGAAGAACTGTTATCCATATGAGAAAGACATATGTCTTATTGGACACCATTTGAATAAGGCCCCTTGAGTCATGTCTGTACTAGCTACAGAAATCAAGGGAATATATTCGATTCACAGTCAAATGGAAAATAAAAAAGCCTTTGCTGCATAAAAGATGATCTAGAAACATCAACAAACGACAAAACCAAAGACGATCGCTTGCTGCAAACGCTTTCAACCAACTGATTAGCACATTTGTCGTGTTAGCATCTCATCTTAGGATTCAAAAAGACATCAGACAAGGTTTTCGGTCAATACGACTGCAGCGTCAACACCATAGCCTCTTTGAAAACCATTACAGATCATATTGGAAGTGACACAAGAACAGAAAACAGTAATATTTGTAGTTCAACACCAAAGACACATAAGTATAGATTCACTTACAAGTTGTAATTGCAAAAGTATTATAAAATGCTTTATAAAAAGATGATCACCAATACAGTATTTGTTGCATTTGTCAGCTATGGCCTCAGTGAATAATCTATGAACTCAAAAGCATGATCACATCCACTCAAAGTCAGCCCTTCACCGCTCTAACCCATGATTCTAGACAGAACTGCTGTAAGAAATCCTCTCGTCAAGCTTCTTTCTGATAAACTTACAGTCAAGTGAGGTTATGCTTGAAGTTATGAGATTATAGGTTTAGATTAAGGCTACAAGTGGTAGAACAACATGTTAACACTATTTCTAACATATCCTGACCAGTATATCTTCCATTTCGAACCTACTTTGACCGCCTTTGTGCTTTGGACGAATTCGGACTGAGCGGCAGAAAACGAGGGGAGATCAGAGCACCATTATTTTTTTTTTAGAAATGTCGCAATCTACTGAATGACAAATCGGTTGAGAACTCATTACCAATCACTATATTATACTAATTCTACTAACTAAAGTCTATTTTCACTACTCTTGGTTATAATATTTGGGCAAAAACAAATTAAAATAATAATAATAATAAAAAAGAAAAATAGTTGACATATTGACATATGTAATGGACAGAGTGTCTAGGCCAACTGTCCTCCTGTGTTTTGTGCGTAAAAGGTCACTCTCTGAAATACATGTTACGTTGATACATGCGGAGCGTGAAGAGGGTTATTCATAACTCTCTTTGTTAACGGTCACTGTAATCGCTGATGACTCGTCCACATTGTTTTTTCTTCAAGTAAGGGATGCCATTGTTTCAGCAATGGGTCTCTTTAAGTCAGGCGGGCGCGACAGGAAGGTGTCCCTCATGAGAGCTGTTAATGATAAAATAAAGTTAATGAGTTAGCTTTTATAAATTAATCTTATATTCAACAGGACAGGACCGTTTAAAATAAGCAGCGTACCTGCTGTATCGCACAATGCCTGCGCTCCGCCCAGCAGCGGGTCCCTGTCGGTCAAGAGCTGACTTCGCTTTTGAGGTGGTGGTTCAAATTCTTCCGAACCATCATCAGACAAGCTATTCTAAAAACACAAAACAAAAATCACACTCTGAAACATATTGTCTACAACAAGTGTTTTTGTGTGAATGAAGCTAAAGAAGTAAAGTTTAAAAAAAATAACAGATTTTTTAAGTCAGGCGGGCGCGACAGGAAGGTGTCCCTCATGAGAGCTGTTAATGATAAAATAAAGTTAATGAGTTAGCTTTTATAAATTAATCTTATATTCAACAGGACAGGACCGTTTAAAATAAGCAGCGTACCTGCTGTATCGCACAATGCCTGCGCTCCGCCCAGCAGCGGGTCCCTGTCGGTCAAGAGCTGACTTCGCTTTTGAGGTGGTGGTTCAAATTCTTCCGAACCATCATCAGACAAGCTATTCTAAAAACACAAAACAAAATCACACTCTGAAACATATTGTCTACAACAAGTGTTTTTGTGTGAATGAAGCTAAAGAAGTAAAGGTTAAAAAAAAAAACAGATTTCCTTACCAGTAATGTGTGGCTGAGCAGAAGCTGTTCCTCTATGGAGCCACTCATTGGTTTCTTCTCCAATTTGGCAGCCAGAACAGGAATGTCATTTTCCTCCTCGTCTTCCAAACATCTATTGTGGAGAAAGACATTAAATACGCATCTTATACACTACCGTTCAAAAGTTTGGGACTTTTATTCGTTTCTTTTTACAGAAACTACTTTTATTTAGCAAGGACGCATTAAATTGATCAAAAACGAGAGTAGAGACATGTTATAAAATAATTCTATTTCACATTAATAGAATTTATCCGTCTAAATTTTGAACTTAATATTTATAATAAAAAAAAAAAGTATCACAGTTTCCACAAAAATATTAACACAACTGTTTTCAACATTGATAATAATAAAAATTGACTTGAGCAGCAAATCAGCATATTAGAATGATTTCTGAAGGATCATGGGAAACTGAAGACTGGAGTAATGACTACTGAAAATTCAGCTTGGCATCACAGGAATAAATAACATTCAGCAATTTTAAATTGTAATAATATTTCACAATATTACCATATTTTTGATCAAATAAATTCAGCCTTAGTGAGCATAAGAGACTTCCTTTAACATTAAAAATATCCTACCAATCCCAAACTTCTGAACAATTCTGGTACATTCTACCAGATTAGACACAATCTAAATATGCTGAAATCATCATTATGATTTTTTACCGTTTCCTTGAAGTCTTGGTCAGCATATCTGACGGTACAGCCATTTCACCCTGGGGCAGGAAGGTCAACTGGAAGTCATCATCCATGGAGATATATGGAGCCAACATGTCCAAATCAAGCTCATCCATAGCCTGTCAGAGAATGAAAGTGTTAAACACCCATGACTTATCTTCTGAGATGTTTGAAAAGAAGTCTAAAAACCACTTTGAGAACTACCTCCGATTGTCCTTTCAGAGTTACGCTCTCCTCTGGTTTGAGGGCGAAGAACTTCTCCACCCCTTCCATCTCCATGGGCAGCTCTTCAGCGGGGCTCTGAAACAGACGCTTAAATGTCAGATAAACCATTCAAAACATCAAAAATACCCAAACAAAAAAACTAAACTCTCATACACACCGCAGCGGGTGGAGATTTGGTGGGCCTGTCGAATATTGGAGAAAGGAGCCGACGGAGTTCAGGCGTACAGAAGTCCTGAGGGCATTCTGGGACAGTGTTGGGACTAGATGGACGGCAGAAGGACAACTCCACACCGTCTGTGAATAATATAAAGCACTATTAGGATGACATTACAATTGTGCAAAAATGCTCAACCAAATCGATTTTAAGACCAACAGCAAACATTCAAATTCTGTAGAAAAGCATGATTTTAAGCACCTGTTAGGGAAATGACAGCGTCTCCAGAATGAGGTGCCAGCTGCAGTAAGTCCTCTGGGTTCTCCTTCATCTGGAGGAAGAGTTTCGCAGTGCTGCTCTCCTCCTCCATATCTGAGTCCTCCTCCTCCTCCTCCAGCACGCTCAGCTTCTCAGCTCTGGGCTTTGGTTTCTCACAGGTCTGTTCTAATGAGAACACAACATCCGCCTCTTCTACACCACTGCCAGAGAGAGGGAGAAACATCATTCACACCTGGGTTATTTTTGTCAACTGAAACCATTAAAAAACATTTGTTTAGTAGAATATGAAAATTAGAAATGTTGCCTTGGGGACTAATTGAAAGAAAATTATTTTAAGTTACTAAAATG